ATAGATAGATAGATAGATAGATAGATAGATAGATAGATAAAAATCGTGTAGACCCCCTCCCCCTCCATATATATACCGTGGCGCAGGGCTGAAGCTCCCCCCCCATTTCCCCTTCATTTGTTCGTATTTTTCATGGCCCCTTTGGGCCAGTTTAAACATTGTGTGGTCTGTGACAATAAAATCCCACTTTTGGACGGCCACACTAAATATTTATTTTGCCTCGGTGAGGCTCACCAAACCTCCTCATGCCTTCACTGTCAGAACTTTAAGTATGGAGTTCTCCACAGTTGCCTTTCTAGGCTTAAGCTTCGGCTTTGGGAACAGTCCCTTCAATCTACAAAAGCTATGGCTCAGCCTGCTTGTAAAACTACCTCACAAGCTAACGCCGTGGAAAAAGCCATCTCAGAGATGGCAAAACAACGCCCTTTGGCCCCATCTCATTCCGATGCCCCCTCGACATCACCTAAGCAGACGAAGGAGCAAAAAACTAAACAGTCAATGTCGAAGTCTTTGACATTGAAAACGACCACAAAAAGAAAGGCGTCCATTGATGCCTCTTCAACTCCAGATCCCTTGCCACTGAAAAAGTCCAAATCCTTGAAGGCAAAATCTCCTGGGATTGCTTCTTCGCAGGCCTCACAGGCCAGAGATTTAATTTGTGTGGGTTTACCCTCGGATGAAGAAGGGCTCCCATCATACCAACCATATTCTGCACAATCGCCAGAATGGGAACAGTGGGTGGATCAACTTGGAGCCAGCCCCCAGCAATCCAGGTCCCCTACTGAGTCCTCTTTGGTTGCTTCACCTGATATAGAAGGGGCAGAAATGCAACCTGATACCATGCCCTACTCCATCCCAGCAGGCCTACCACCTTGGCCTCCGATGCATCATCACAGGCACCAACTATCCAAGACTGGCAACATGTCTCTATGTGCGGCGTCAGCCCACGCCCAGCAACATTATCGGGTAGCCATTTACCCTGACCAGTGCTCAACTGGAAAGCCTCCCAAGCACTATCAACCGGTTACTCTTCCCGGTTCGACAGCAGTGCCTCACTTACAGCAGCCCTCAGTGTCGAAACGATCTCACCATCAAGATTGTCAGGGGCTACAGACTGCCTATCAGCCGGCACCTAAGAGACTCAAAACAGCTGACCAATACTCTTCAGCTCACGGTACATTTGCAGCTCCAGTAAGCCGGTATTTCCCGGCCCGCCAAGAGGATCGGGATCGATCGTCCAGGAAAAGAGATGAGCTGCTAGACGTTGAGGAGTCTACCGTTCATACCAACAATGCCCCCAATGTACTCGGTGGTGCCCCTACAACTCCTACCAGAAGTTCCATCATGAACCTCAGAGGCCCTCCTCTTATAAACCTTACTTCAAACAACAAAATTACTGGACCAAACCACATCAGCAAACCATGACTAGGCACAATGATCGCAAAGCTAAGCATCATGTTTTATGTCCAACAGGCTGAGATCGCAACACACCATATCTCTTCTCCCACCCTCTGGAAACATTTAACTGCTTGGGAAGCCATTACCACAGATGCTTGGGTCCTTTCCATTGTCCTCAGCTTTCAATTCCATAAGCTTCTTCCACCAGTACACACTGTCACACCTCCATCGCAAACTCTGCAGGCCGAAATACAGACCATGCTTCTCAAGGACGCCATAGAACCAGTATATCAAAGCAACAGTGTTTCTCTCGTTATTTCACTGTCCCCAAAAGGGACGGAGGCCCCCGTCCCATCCTCGACCTCAGACACCTAAATCACTACATTACTACCACCAAATTTTACATGGTGACCCTCGAATCTGTTCAATATATAAGCAGCACACGTTTTGCTTTGCTTCTTCCCCTTCTTCAGAAAAACGACTGGTTCGCAGTCATAGATTTAATAGACACTTACTTCCACATATCTATCCACCTCTCTCACAGGCCTTACCTCTGCTTCCAGCTCGGAACTCAAGCCTACCAATTCAAAAGACTCCCCTTCAGATTTGCAACAGCTGCCAGAGTTTTCACCAAATGCATGGCACCTGTGGCAGCTTACCTCAGACTTCACAAGATCCACATCTTTCTGTATATCAATGACTGGCTCCTTGTAGCTCACTCCTGTTGTAGGGCACAACAAGACATCCACTTTATGCAAATATACAAAAGTCCGAGCTACAGCCCACTAAGGTTGTTCAATATATAGGGGCACTCATAGACTCTACTCATGCTTGAACATTTCTTCCAATGGACAAGCAATGCAACTTGGTGTCCTTGCTTCACTCCATCACTCCTCATGCATTTATACCTGCACTAAATTCAACGTGTCCTAGGCACGATGGCATCCATGACGTCTGTTGTGCAACACATACGCCTCAAAATGAGATCGCTCCAAGCCTGGTTCCTTGCCCTCTTCAACCCACTAACACCCTCTCACACCCTGTTAAGGGTCATTCCGGGACTCGCCACTCAACTTTCTCGGTGGCGCTCTACCCAAACAAAACCTTACAATGGGATGACTTTCCAACAACCACATCCTCAAATACAAGTCACTACAGACGCCAGTCTCACAGGCTCACTGCAAATCCCTAAAGATTCATGCCCAATGGTCAGAAAGGGAAAAATTGCTTCACATCAACAAACTAGAGCTGTTAGCAGTGATAAAGGCATGCAAGGCTGTGGCCGCCTCCTCATACGTCACAGAGGGGACGCCACTTCACACTCTCTTTCTCAACACACGCCGCCACCAACCACACACATATATCTGACTCCTCAGACAAAGGTATGGATTTTAAAAAGGAAAATGATTGTTTATTGATACAACTTAATATGTGGTAAATCACTATAGAAACTGAATAAGGCAATCAATAAAATAAAGGATCCCTTCAATCACACTATCACTCAGACCTTAACTAACACAGTACTTCATTACCTAACTCAACTCTCACTCTAACTCTAACTCTCCAAAACTGTCTCACATCATTCACTCCCCCCCTTATATACACAGCTCCACCTCCTGGAGTCCCACCTGCTGCCCCGCTATAGGCAGAAGAGCTCCAGCATACCATTGATAGGCAGGTGACGTCATCGCAGCCGTCACAAAGGCTTTCAGAGACCATCTTGCAGGCAAGATGGTACAAATCGCTACCGACAACAGTACAACAATGTATTATATCCTCAAACAGGGAGACACCCACTCTCCAAGTCTTCTGTATCTCGCAGTTGACCTCTAGGAATGGTATCTGTCACATCACATCTGTCTCACAGCATTACACATAGCCGGCCAAGACAGCAAACTGGCAGATCTCCTCAGTCGCAAGGAATCCCAAGCTGGATTCCAAGCTCATTTGGAAGGACTGTCTTTCTCCTTCTCTGCAAATGCTGGGGCACGCCCACCATTGACCTCTTTGCCTCCCGGACATATTGGAAGTACAAACATTACTGCTCCCGCACAGGAGTCAGCAGGTATGCGGAGATACATTTTTAGGCCGTTGGCTCAGGACCCCTCACTTACCTCTTCCCACCATTTCCACTCCTCCACAAAGTAGTAGTCCGGTCCAACAAGACAAACCCAACACTATTTTGATAGCTCCATGGTGGCCGTGACAGCCCTGGCTCTCGGTTCTACGCACTCTGTCACCAGACATCTTATCACCTGTCCCACCTGCCCCACCTGCTCACACAAAACAAAACCCAAATTCTCCACTCGGACCTCCCTACTGTGCACCTGGCAGCGTGGAGGATTCTGCCTCCCTGATGAACATCCTCCATCAGGCGAAGACACCCTCAACTAGGAGAGCTTATCTATACAAGTGGAAGAAATTCCTGTCCTTTATTGAAGCCTCCACGCTACCTTCAGTTAACCTCCCTCTCTCCACCGTCCTTCATTTTCTGCTTCATCTTAAAGCCAAAGGCCTCTCCCTCTTTTCTTTGAGGGTTTACCTTTCTGCAATCATTTCCTATCAACCACTCCAGCAGTTTACTGGATACCAACCACCAACCTCTCCAGCAACAACTTCAGACACCTTACTCTGAAGCGTTTCCTAAAGGGTTTATCACGCATGTATCCAGATGTGCACCCACCTTCACCTCAATGGTCTTTAACAATAGTCCTACATCACCTCACCAAACCACCATTTGAGCCCTTAGACTACTTACTATTAAAACAGTGTTCCTTGTTGCTATCACATCATCTCCTCGTGTGAGTGAACTAGCAGCTTTGCGTTATGATTATCCTTATCTCCAGTCTTATCCAGATAAGGTCAAGTTATCTGTAGATATTTCCTTTCTCCCCAAGGTTGTTTCCCAGTTTATTTAGCCTGTACACAACCGTTCTAATGTTCAGCTCAACTTTTTGTCAGCTATCAGCCCCCTATGAAGGGTCTACAGGTGACATCACAGAGAATCTCCAAGTGAGTTGCTTCTACCATGATAGTGTGTAAGGATGTGTAACTGGAGACCAAGACCAAGATCATCCACACCCTTGTGTTTACAGTCATCATGTACGGGTATGAAAGCTGAAGAGTAAAACAGATGAGACAAAAAAGAGAGAGATTCATTTGAAATGTAGTGCTGGAGGGAGCTTTGCACATACCCTGGACTGCCAGAAAGACAAACAAGTGAGTCCTAGATCAAATCAAGCCTGACAATCTCCAGAGGCAAATATGATGAAACTGAGGCTGTCCTACTTTAGGCTCCTCACGAGAAGACAAGATTTGGTAAAGAAAGTGATGCAGGGAAGGACAATGATGTGGCAGTGTTACAGTTGTTTCCCCAAAGGCTTGGTGGAAGTGGGAAAAGCAACAAGTTTCATTTTCCATTTTTAAAAAAAATTGTGTGAATTGTCCCTCCAAAACTCTGTCTTTGTTAGTGAAAATCACATTTACTTCTGTGCACTTCTTTACTCGCAGAAGTGGAGCACTTTGGGTATATTGTGAGAAGGCAGGATTCTCTGGGAAACACAATAATGCTGCGAAAAACTGAAGGCAGCAGGAAAAGACCAAATACGGATTGGCTTGACTCCCTAAAGGAGGCCATGGGCTTGAGTTTGCAGGAGTGGAGCAGGACGGGGCCTTTTGGAGATTGCTCATTCTTAGGATTGCCATAAGTGAGAGGCGACTTGGCATCACATAACAACACAACCTTGAAGTTTTTCTAATCCTTTTCAGTAAGACATGAATGGCATGGGATTAGAAGTACAGTACAAGCTACGCGTGATTTACAGTATTATGGAGGGAAGATTCTGTTTGTTTAAACAACAGATTTCTAGCGTTCTTTGAAACTGAGGAAACCAACTGTTCGCATTTGTTTAACAGAACTCCCAAGTCTGACTTTTCCAATTTGGAAACTGATCCCATCTCAAGGACTACAGTGGTGCCTTGCTTTACGATTACCCCGCATTACGATGAATCCGCTTCACGATGACGTTTTTGCGATCGCTTTTGCGATTGCAAAACAATGGTCTAAATAGGGTTTTTTCGCTTTGCGATGATCGGTTACCTGCTTCGGAAACTAACTCTTCGCAAAACGATGTTTTTTAAACAGCTGATCGGTGGTTTCAAAATGCCCGCTGGGTGCTCAAAATGGCTCCCCGCTGTGTTTAGGGATGGATTCCTCGCTATACAGGCACCGAAAATGGCCGCCGTATGGAGGATCTTCGCTGGACGGTGAGTTTTCAGCCCATTGGAATGCATTGAACGGTTTTCAGTGTGTTTCAATGGGCTTTTTATTTTCGCTTTATGATGTTTTCGCTAAACAGCGATTTTCCTGCAATGGATTATCACCATTAAGCAAGGCACCACTGTATCTCAAAGCTCTTTAGTGACTCACTCAGTGTTTAGTTTCAATCTGCAAGGCCCACATCAACTTCAACAACTGGAAACCCCAAATGGAGTTACCCAAGCTCTGGGCCTCTGAGCTAGGTCAGGTGCTATGCAGAAGTAGAACAAAAATACAAGTTACATTCTTCACTTGTACTGGCTTCAGTCATGCTCACGGCCTCTGTCTCTGGGAAAGGTCTCTGTGTTCCAGCTGTTGCCTGAGATTCATAGAGGTTCCAGTGTTTGAAAGGGGGACACTTCCTTTTCTGCTTCTGTGCTACAAACAAATCTTTCAACTCCAGATACACTACCCCACCATTTATGAAACACACATTAGGTGCACGTTGTCCTGGTCATAATCTGATTAGAATCTGCTATCTGAGACTGCAATCCTGTGGGCCCTGCAAGGCATCACGGAGATTTTAGGGTTGTTCCGATCAGCTCCTCCAGGAGAAAGGCCAAGCTTGCTTTGTTATGATGAGGGAGAGCTAATGGTGGAATGTTCTTCCAAGCCCCAGCAGAAAATTCTGCAGCCCCTACCTCTCTAATGTTGGTGTTGCAACATCAGGGGAGACAAAAGGTGGCCCAGGCGGGGGTGTGATGTGGGCTAATCTGGGGAAGATTTGGATCGAAAGAATACAAAGCCCTTTTAGTCCCTGAACATTTCCTGCTCCATGGGAGGAAATGACACGATTCCTAGATATAGAGTTGTTAATTTCCTCACAATGGGATTTATCAGCAGAAAGAAAAATAATATTCCCAGACAGGAAGAAAAGCAGGAGAATCCCATCCGTCCGTCCTCTCCTGCTCTGCTGGCATGAGCTGAGCAGAGCTTTGGATATTCACTGTGTTCAGAACTATTGTGTGCATTCCATAGCATTTCAGCATTAGTTGCAGTTCTGAGGGTCTGGACATAATTGCAGAATATTTGCCTTGGCTCTGGTTCTAACTTTTATTTCATTCTCCTTCACTCAGACCATCTTGATAAACATTCATATATCCTAGTCCCCCACCCCCAAACACAAACTTCATCTGGCGTATTTCTCTCTGTTCAAACAGGAGACTGTTGGCTCATTTCCACTGCATTTCATGTGACCGACCCTTGGAAATGGTGGTGCCTGGCCCGTAAGTAGTTCCAGAGTGCCATTTTGCACTGCATATATGCTTAGATTACTGTGGGTGTGGTTTAATGAAGTGGGCACATTTCTGGAGGTGGCATTGAGTGATCCAGGTTTTGGTTCCTGCTCAGCCGTGGGGAAGGTGCTGCCTTGGAGTGGATCAGCCTGCCTTGCCTTGCCCTTCTGTGCCAAAACAGCTGTTGAGAGCTCTAAAATGGGACCTCCCGGTCTGATCTTCTCTATCTGGTATCTCGACAGGCACATCACAACACTGCCTGCTGTGCCCGGCTTGCCTCCTCACCAGTCCCTCCGGCCGTACATGGTTTATGAAATGGAACAAATCAGGCAGCTGAACCGCAAGTACAATGAGAGGACAGGGAATTGGGGTGGTGGTGGTTCTTTTCCCTTCCCTGCTTTTCCTCTCTCCTAATTGATGTATATTTTTAGCTGCAGGTGGGAATTGAGTGGAGCTCAAAGACTGAGATGTGGGGCCTGTGGAGGAGAATGAAGTAAAGAGAGGCCCAGGTCTAGGGAGTCTCTGTCTTGATGGCTATTGCTTAGAATGGGGCGTCGTCAAGAAAAGTGGAGAATTGGTCAAGACATCCCTGGCAGCCGAACTAGGTGTTGCCGACAAACTGGAACCTATGTCAGTCCTCCGTTATTCCAGCATGTTGAGTCATAGGAGTGAGGCCAATCCAAGAAGCCCCTTTTGATTTTCACTGCCGTGTTTGCAGGCAGTGAAAATGAAGCAGGAATTTCCACTGCTTTTGATGGGGCATTGATTGGAAAAAGTGTCAGAGTTCTGGGCAGTTGCTGGACTCCATTGTTATTACCCGTATTTAGAGTAAAAAAAATTACAATGAAGAGGGAGTGGCATTTTAAAGACTAGGATTTTTTTTTAGTGTGAGTTTTTGTTGCTTTCCAACCATTTCTTCAGACATGTGGAGTATAATCATTTGGTCACAGGTGTTCATGTTTTATTTTCTGTATCCTGTCATTCTCTTGTAAGTAACAGAATGTCACTGTGCAGAGGGAATTCACAGAGCCTCCATTTGCCAGGCACTATTAGGAAGAGCTCAGTTGCCAGGGTTGTGAAACCAGCAGCAACTGGGGAGAAACCACCTTCACTAGGGGTGTGTGTGTCAGCCTCTTCTTTCTCAACTCACCAATATAAAATAACTGAAGACAGAGAGAGAGAGAGAAGAGAAAGCTCATGGCTCATACTTTTGGCCCAATCAATAGAAGTGCAGTTGGTGGAAGGAGCGATATATTCTGAATAAATTAAGATCTGCAGAAAATTTTAATGATGGTGGGAGAGTGGACTCCTCCTTGCTTTCTTGTTTTTACAGACCTCTCACTTTAGGAAGCCTTGTCAACTCCAGCAGACTTGTAGGGTTCCATGTCGATCAGAGGCATGGGCCCCACCCCGGGCCTGTGAGGCCTCCCCATCAGTCCACCCCAATGCTTCCTCTCCTTGTCCCTCACCTCTCTCTCATGTTTCTATAGCAATTTGGTTTATTTTTCAAATGCTTCAATTGGGACCTGTAGAGCTTCCTTGAAACCTAAGTGCCGTGTGGGTTGCAAAGAAGGCGAATGTCGCAACTGAGGCAAACAAAAAACCCCATGGTTGATCTTTTGACCCTTCTACGTGCGCCTTTAGTCCTCTGGAAAATCCCTGCCCTCTTCCATTTCAGAGGCAGGATATTAAAAAAAAAAAAGCCCGGTTCCTCTGCAATGTGTCTATTTGTTAGATGTGGATGTGGATGAATGGCTGGATATTAGGGTAGCCACATGAAAGGCCAGGGCTCCAGTACCTGCAACAGTGAAGAAGAGCAGAGTGGCTTGCAATGACACAAGATATCTGCTGAAATTCCCATTTCTGTACAACTATAAAAGATACAGGAGTACTGTCTTCTTTTATATGTGGCAACCTGAGTGGCGGTATTTGAGAGAGCATGTGATATGGCCCCACTGCACTAGAGGTAGGTCACCCAACAGAAGGTTAGCTGCAGGGAAATGAGTTGGGTTAATAACAGATCCTTGCCCACATATAAGTGTTCTTGCTAGCGCTCCTGCTACAGATATTCACGAAAGCAGAGTTAAGTACAAGCAAGGCATGCTGGGAGGAACAGGCCTGCTTCACTTTTCCATTTCCCCCGCTTTGGCTGCTTGCTGTCTTGTGGCTTGGACTTAGTGCTGCCTCTCTTTGTTTCCATTCTGTTCTTTTGCTCTCCCCCCCCTCCCCCAAGTCTGAAGTTAGGACCGGGTGCTCGTTTTGATGCACTGGAGAAGAGTGCGAGCCTCAACAAGCTGCGCCGCATCCATTCCAAGATGCTCATGGATATCCAGAAGGTGCAGAGCCATTATGGTGGAGCAGGAAAGGTCAACGCTCAGATGATCCGGGAAATACTGCAGTCGCAGTGTCTCGGCTCAAGCCCATATGGCAAACGGTAGGAGGAAAGGCCGTCAGCCCTCAGTTAATCCTCGAAAGAGCTAGAAAGGGAAACAGGGCTGCCCACCTGCTCTCCTGTTTTCTCCCTGTGTCATCCCGGATGGGAGATGCTGCTGCAGTTGCTTTCCTTGGTATTTCTGTGTTAAGCATTGCCAACCTACAGCCTCACCCCATCCCACCTCCTGAGCTTACTGAGGTGGCAAGGCAGCTGTGTGGGCCTTCATTCAGAGAAATGCCAAATGGAGTGAATTTGGCAGCTGCTTCCATAATTAAATTCCTCAGAATGAGGTTATCCTCAAATGAGAAGCCAGTCTCTTCCAGGTACCAGGTTATCAACCCTTTTGGCTATACTTGATTCTTCATCCCAGTTCTGATATCCTGTTTGGCTAAAAACTATTTTGACCTAAAGACCACTATTTTGTTCCACGTTTTTCTGTTCTGAGCCTACAAAGAGGTCTGTTGCTCATGCAAGGCAATTGAGGTGGGGCTGGAACCATACCAGTCTTTTGGGTAAGTACTTCTGCCTCATATGAAATCTTCACACTCTCACCTTGCCTTGCTGACAATGGTCATCTCATCTGGCCCGGTTTTGCCACACATCCCATCTGCCGTGCGCTCTTAATGTTAAACCGCCTTTGCCTGATGAAGAGTTCTGGAAAACCAGAAACCTTGTTTGATCTGTAACTTTTTAGTGGTCCAATAAAGGTGATGCCCAACCCAGAATTTAGTTAAGTCCAGATGCCTCGCAGTCCTCACATACATTGTTGAGGCCCTCAGGCATTTTGAGGTAATAAAGATAGTGGCAGCTACACCCACTATATTTGGCATTTCTCTGATAAGGACCAAACTACAAGTAAATAATGATTTTTTTAAAACAAGGAAAAATGCAGAAAGAAATGCATTGGTCTATATTTATTTAAAATATTTTAATGATAAAATAAAATGTAATGAAACTTTTTTTTAAAAAAATATGGTGCCAACTCCAAGGCTCTCTCTGGGATTCATGGGTCTCAGCATTTGTCCCATTGTGCTAAGTGCTGACACTAAGCCTGAAATAAAACTTCATGGCAGAGTTCCCTTGGGACGTGGACATAGTGCTGTTGTTCTGTTAACTGGATCTAAGAAGCATGGTTTCTCCTTAGAGAGACGTCAAGAGCTGAGCTCCACATTGGAATTTTTATCCAGATAGGTTTCTGAGACAGAGCAACAAATAGCAAGAGGCCAGCTAGAAATCAGTTATACGCAGAGACAAGCCACAGGGAGAACATAATTGCTTAGCCTTATAATTTGCTACTGTGACCTCCTTCTCTCTGTTTCCAACATACAGAAGTCATTTTCGTGGATGGTTCCCATGGAAAGCTACACGTTCTTGAGGCACACTTTGGAGAGCCTTCCCCAACCTTGGGCAACCCAAGGGTGTTCTTGGACTGCAGTTCCCAGAAATCCCAGTCAGCACAGCTGGTTGTGGAAGCTTCTGGGAGTTGCAGTCCAAGAACACCCCTGGGATATCCAAGGTTGGGAACTACTGCTATATAGTATTGCTTGCAGGGTAGACATTTCATCATGGTTAAAGCAGTCTCTTAATGGGTTCTTTAACATATTTATCAGTCCCTGAATAGAATGACTGTAAATATTAAGTTGGCCAACTTCCCACTTGGCTGATAAAATTTGGAATTGCAGAACAGGCTTAAAACCTCAAACATCTGCCAAATGGGTCAGATCTGATCGCTATCACTTCACAGAGTATTTAATACTATCTGCAGACTGACTCTCCTCTATCTCAACAATAAAACAAAAACAACATTGTACTGTGCAAACTACAATTAACTTAAAGTGTCAGTCAGGAATGCCACATGGCTTTCCAACAAGATGGTGCAACCATGTCTTTAGCAATCTCAGCCATCACAGCTTGCAGTCTAACTTGCATATCTAGTTTGCTTGATCATTAGCTTTCTTATGCTGCTTTACCCTCTTTCTTCCCTGCCTGAAATTTCATTTCTTTTATCTACGGAAGCTGTCACCCTGTCTGGTTTTTGCATTGTAAAAAGATGTTCCAATTGTGTTCAATCTGTATATGGTTTCATTATTGTTTTAGAATGTGCAGGGTGGGGGGACACAGCAAGAGGCAGGTTGAGAACTTCCAGAACTTAAGCTCCTACTAGACTTTATAATCTAAATTTTTCAGCCAATGGGATTGGTTTATCATTGTGCAGAATTTTGTAGATTTTGATATTCTGGGCTGCTGCATGTTAGTTTCCAATGTATAAGTCGAGGACCTGGTAATGGAGTCAGTAGGGACTGCAAGAGCCAACCATTGACACAGACACTGGATGGGATTACAAGAGTTTAATTCTCCTAACAAGACCTTCCTCTGCTGCATAGTAATTATGATAGTGGTGATAGTGATTGTGATGTCCACGATACCAGCTCCTGCTCACCCCTCTTTAAAAACAAGGAGCTTGATTTTGTTTAAATAAACACTCAACTGAACATTACAGTTTACTGGGAATAGCTGTAACTGTCAGGACAGTAAATGGGATTTATGTGCACAAAAGGTTATTGTTATGCCCTGGAAGTATATCTAGTAGGCATCCTTCCATCTCTGAATAGAGGTCTTGGAACAGCATCTACTAAGGCTGAGAAGGCCAATTCCAGAGTGACAATCCTTTCCACACTGAAGACAATCTGTCCCCTGTCCAGCTCCCTGATTTGGCTGATTTCGGGACTGCCTCTTTGCCTCAGCCTGCTGGACAAGTTTCTCTTCAAATTGGGAGAGGCCACGCTGCACCGCCTGCCTCCAGGCTGAATGCTCAGATGTCAGGGTTTCCCATCTGTTGAGGTCCATTCCTAAGGCTTTCAGATCCCACTTGCAAATATCCTTGTATCGCAGTTGTGGTCTCCCTCTGGGGCGCTTTCCCTGCACTAATTTCCCATACAGGAGACCTTTTGGAATCCGACCATCAGCCATTCTCATGACTCTGTCTAGCATTTCAGATTTCTCTGCTACCCAAAACTACCAGGAAAGGTTCTGGAAATAAGAATACTAATATGAGTACAGTATTATGAATTTTTTTAAAAAATGCTGACACAGTACAGAAACGCTTCTTTGTAAACTGCTAAGAAATAAAATGCACACACAAACACATACAGATAAGTGTTTGTGATCTGTTAAGAGAGAGAGAGAGAGAGAGATTTTGCAGTTTCCCTGGTACAAATAATTTTGGGCAAGATTGATTAAGGCTTGGGAGTGGCATTAAGCTCCCATTCTCTCCCCCCTCCCTCTGTCTGTTGAATATATTTGCTCCACCTCTCCATACAGATGAAGATTGAACACAGCTGTGAGTCACCCTAAAGCAGGTGTGGGGGAACCTGTAGTTAATGAGGTTGCTGGACTACAACTCCCATCAGACCCAATCAACACCTCTGCCCCCAGCAGCAAGAGTGACTGCATAACATTGCCTAGGAAAAGAGATAACTTGGCTGACTTTTAAATGTGTTGCTTTTAATTTTTTTAGTATTCATTTTATTTACCATTTTTATTTAACATTTGCTTAATCATTTTTCAATATTTCTATATCTATAGTTTGTAGCTTTTAAATATTGTCTTTCTAATGATGTAAGCAGCCTTGGGTCCTTTTTAAGGAGAAAGGCGGGATATAAATATTTTAAATGAATAAATAAAAAGCACCCTCTCCACACATAGCACTCTAAAAAGCATGAAGTCTATGAATGCTGCCCTTCAGAAACTAGGTCACATAGCTAAGCTGGGCCAAAGCTCATTGGGATTGTACTTGGTTTTATTTGCTGTATTTTGCCAAATGTGAAATATTGGCCTTTGATCTTTAACAGTGACAGACTTCCTGAGATGGCGGATTACAGCTACATAAGTGTACCACGGCATTGTGGAGGCAGCCACACCCTCACGTATCCATACAGACGCTATGGGAGGTTGCAGCAGTTTGCCCAGTGTATGCCCCCTCTCCATGCTGACGAAGGCACCATGCTGGCCATGATGAAGGTATTGTGCCCAATGGGAAGGTCAACACAAGTGTGTGTGTGTGTGTGGGGGGGAGGGTTATGGAGATCAGCGTGGACTCGGAATGTGAAAATGTTTTGCTGGTGCCTACCTAGATTTTGGACGAGACAGGTAGTTTTAGCATAGTGAAGCAATTGCGGGGGTGGGTGGGTGGGTGGGGTGTAATTTAAGAACAAAAAGCTGAATGGAGAACAGTTGCAGTCCACTGATGGCAGCGAGGCACTCTGATGAGGAATCAGCAATGCCTGCGAGAGACGTTCACAGTGGTGCAAGACCAAAATGCCAAGAATTTTTCCCATCCTGGCTTTCTTACGTCTCTGTGTGAAAGTGCTAGTTTTATGAAGTTCGGCACAAACCCATGGAGAAAGTGAAAAAGGGGAAGTCTGGCTGATTATAATGATACAAACCTATTCAATGCTAGTAATTGCCCTAGTCATGGAATGAGACAACTGCTATCACATTTTCTATAGCTGTGCATTTTATATACAATCATGTGAAAAAGAACACCCTCTTTGAATTCTATGGTTTTTACATATCAAGAAATAATAAAAATCATCTGATCCTTAGCAGGTCTGAAAATTAGGTAAATACAACCTCAGATGAACAACACATGACATATTACACTATGGCATGATTTATTTTACAAAAACAAAGCCAACATGGAGAAGCCATGTGTGAGAAACTAAGTACACGCTTACTGCTTCCATAGGAGTTAAGAGATTAAGTAGCAGCCAGGTGTTGCTAACCAAATGCCCTTGATATCATCAGTAAATGTGACCACCTCTCTAAGAGCCAAAGTTTTAGCAGTTTGCTCGTCTGGAGCATTCAGGTGTGTGTTAGCACAATGCCAAGGAGGAAACACATTAGCAGTGGTCGTAGAGAAACATTGTTGCTGCCCACCAGTTTGGGAAGGATTCTAAGACCATTTCCAAACACTTTAAAGCCCATCATTCTATAGTGAGGAAGATCATTCACAAGTGGAAAACATGACAGTTGCCAATCTTCCCAGGAGTGGACATCCAAGCAAATTCACCCCAAGGTCAGATGGTGCAGTTCTCAGAGAAATTGCAAAAAGAAAGAAAGAAACCCCAAGAGTTGCATCTCAGACTCTACAGGCCTCAGTTAGCATGTGAAGTTCATGGCAATACAATTAGAAAAAGACTGAACAAGTATGGTTGGTTTGGACAAACCACCAGACTTCTGGAACTATGTTCTTTGGACAGATGAAGCCCAAGTGGAGATGTTTGGCCATCATGTACACCTCATACCATCTGTCAAGTGTAGTGGTGGAGGTGGAGGAGTGATGACATGGTTTTGTTTTGCAGCCACAGGCCCTAGACACCTTGCAGTCATTGAGTCTACCATGAATACCAGAATATTCTAGAGTCAAATGTGAGGCCATCTTTCTGACAGCTAAAGCTTGGCCAAAATTGGATCACGCAACAGGATAATGATCCCAAGCACACCCACAAATCTACAACAGTGTGGCTGAAAAAGAGAAGAATCTAGGTGTTGCAATGGCCCAGTCAAAGTCCCGACCTCAGCCTGACTGAAATGCTGTGGTGGGACCTTAAGAAAGATGTGCCTAAACAAATGCTTGCAAACCTCAATGAACTGAAGCAACGTTTTAAAGAAGTGTAACAGTCCTGCAGTTGGCTTTGCATCATTTGCCATTTAAAAAAAATACACTGGGAAGAGGGGTATGTTGACTACTAAAAAGTCTTATTATTTTGCGAGCTTCTGCCCCTCTGCAGCACTCCAGTTGTTTCATATGAAAGCTTGTCATGAATTTTTTTTTTAAAAAAAACATTTCTCCCATCTTTTTCTTTCAAAAGCCTCCAAGCCTTTTAATATAATTCACACATAAATAGTAGCAGTTAAGAGCCCACATGAAATTAGTTTCAAGGACAAGAAAAGCAGCGCACAAGTTAAAAAAAGAAAAAAGAGCCACCAAACATATAGCAGAATAAGACTTTTGCCAAATGAGCTTTGAGACAGGCCTTGCACTTCCACCCTCTCCGATCCCTGCTGTTGTGTTTCCTCCTGGGCTTTGTTTTTACACACACACACACCCCTCCCAATGTTCCAGACTAGCAATGTGGAGGCCAGGCAAGCCACTCTATGGAAAGACTTCCTTTTCCTGCTAAAAAATGCATTCCGTGCACTCAAGGGCAATTTGTGAATATATTTTAATGGAATCTGCCCGGAGTAGACTTTGTCTAAAAGGAGGGGATAGAAATTCAATCAATCAATCAATCAGTCAATCAATTTATTTTATTTATTGTATTTATACCCCGCCTATCTAGTCATTTCGACCACTCTAGGTGGCTTACAACATAATAAATAATATGTTGTAATAATAATAAATAAATAATACAACATAAATAAAAATAAATAAATATAAATAAATAAATGGATGTTTTTTTTTAAAAAAAAAAGTTAAAAACTTGGCTAGTTAAGCAGGCCTTCCCTCCAGTCAGCTAAGTCTTTTATTTTTTCTTTCTCTCATCTTATTCCATTTTGCTAATTTTTTAATCTAATTGTATTAACTAATATATTAAGTGTATTTTATGATTATTTATATTTTATATTGTCTTATTTTATGTTGTAAGCTGCCCCGAGTAGACATGGTCTAGAGGGGCGGGGTATAAATGTAATAAATAAATAAATAAATAAATAAAATCTTTAGAGAAACCGAAAGTGGGCTATTTCAGCAGCCTTTTTCTCCACATGAGAGGAGGGTGGCGTTCAAATACAACCTTCCTTGTTGAGTTTGATAGAAGGAAATGAATGCCATGGGAATTCCAGCCTAGTTTATAGTCCCTTTCCCCCCACCCCAAGTCTGTTCCCAAGATGAATTTTTTTCTGTGTTTGTGTTTATCCTTTAGCATGAAGAGGTGGATATACTAGGCCTTGATGGTCATATCTACAAAGGGCGGATGGACACACAGCTCCCATCGTTAACTGGAAAGGATGGTGAGCTTGGATTTCTGTTTCCAGAAGCTTTGGATGATTAACCTATTTCCCCCCTTTTTATGGACACAAGTTAATGTTTAAGCATTGTTCACAGTGGAGTCTTGTGAAACATTTACCTCAGATAGCAAAATGCAAAGCATGCACACCATTTTCCTTACTCTGTTGCTGGGGGCAATTTAAGAAAAAGCTGGGTGGGGAGTAGGGGAACCGTTGCAGTCCACTGACAGTGGGTAGACTCTTCTTGTCATTTCGCTAGCATAGCTATGGAATAAGTGACCTTTATGCCCACGTCTACCTACTGAGCGATGTATCCCAATTGCCAGATGGCTTCCGACGCAAGCAGAACGGCAAGGCCTGATGCAGACCAATGACCGCTCCATTGGGTGTCTTTCGGGATGCAAAGGGCTTGTCATTTTGATGCAGCGAAAGCCCTGCAGTCTCCCTCTGTGTATTGTGCTTCTTTCATCAGGAATGTCAAGACTGAGAAACAAGCTCATCCGGTCCTCCTCGCAAAGGCATCAGCCCACCCTCGGTGACATTGCCAGCCTCCCAGTTCGTCCCCATTCGGCAAAAGTGTCCTTGCGGAGCTTGTCAGGTATGTTTTGGATTCCATGGAGAGCAAACTAATAGGGAATTCCTGCCCAAGTCGGAGGTGGGAATTGAATGAGATCTCCTGGCTCAACGAACTCTTGCTGAATTAGTGTGTGAGTAGAAGAGAGGGACTACCTACACATGAACGTCTCTGTACACAGTCTCTGTGCTATCTCACCACTAGTGAACAGTCCTTAAAAATATAGTTAAGAGAGATGTTGTTAGAAAACCCAAGCGTGTTCAAAGAGCATTTTCAAGGATTTCTTGAGCAGAGGACATGACTTTTGAGCCCATTTAACTTCATAAAGTAGATATTCCCTTTATAGAGATTACACACACACCTGTTTGTGGTACTTCTGTGCAGATTTTCATTTTAAAAACAAAACGAATGCCATGGGAATTCCAGATGTGAGGTGGAAAACATCCATCATCTGCATCAATATCTCTGGCTATAGAGGTGACTCGCACATCATGAAAGCCACGGAATTGTAGGAACCCAAGTTTATTCAGCATGAGCACTGCGCTGGTGATTGCTGAGGAAGTGGCTAAACAAATCATGGAGTTTTTATTCATCATGTCCAGAACTTGGCAACATTATTTCAGGGGCTGCAACTTTCAGAACTTCCTACTGACTAGGGGATTCTGGGTGTTGGCGTCCAGAAAATGAACACTGCCAAGCTCTGGGCATGTCATCTATATATAAGTGCAGACCCTGTTCCGATCCACCCACGCACACAAAAGCCAGAGAAAGAATCCACCATTTATTTTGTAGTTTGCTTCTCAACTTTGTTGTGAAGGAAGAAGGAAAGAAGCAGAGCAGATGTGTTCAGATGACAACCATGGAGTTACATTCTGAGGTCTGCTTAGCTGCTTTTGCTGCAACTGGAAGAGATGATGATGATGATAAATTCAATTTCTATACCTTCCTCATGGCAACCCAGGCCGCTCTGGACAGTTTACACAGCACAATAAAACAAAAATATAAAGGCAAAACAATACAATAGGTAAAAGGTAAAGGTTCCTCTTGACATTTTTAGTCCTGTCGTGTCCGACTCTAGGGGGCGGTGCTCATTCCCATTTTCAAGCCATAGAGCCAGCGCTTGTTGAAGACAGTTTCCTTTGCCAGCGTGACTAGGGAGCGCCGTTTTACCTTCCCAATAAGGTGGGACCTATATATCTACTCGCATTTACATGTTTTTGAACTGCTGGGTTGGCAGGAGCTGGGACAAGCAACAGGAGCTCACTCCGTCGCGTGGATTTGATCTTACGACTGCTGGTCTTCTGACCCTGCAGCACAGAGGCTTCTGCAGTTTAGCCCACAGTGCCACCACGTCCCTGGTAAAACAATACAATAACAAGACAGTAATATCAGACAGCATGCTCCAGCCTGCTGCTAAAGCCTAATGAGTCAGGCTTCCTGTGGCTTTCTCACGTGTTGTGATGTGCGGACCAGGCGGCTGGAGCATTCTGGCTACATTCTTTCTCATTTTCATCTTCAGTGACATTTCTAACCTATCTTTCCACTAAGAAATAGTGCTCACGGCAGCATATAAATGCAATTAAAATGAATGGAAAAGAAGTTAAAACAAATTTAACAGCAAAGCCACTGAAACAGCATGGTGATCAAACCACTGAAGTCAATACAATACTCACGACAATGCTTCTGGAGTGGAAGGAATAGTTAGTAGGTGCTGTTGTTGCCCCAGGGGACCTCTGAATGTGTTCACTTTCTTCAGGGAGGCTCTTTTTGTATCTTAGCAGCTTCAGGTTACTTGGAAGGATGTGTCCAAGTAGATCGTTCTTTGTTTCCATTGTTTGTGCCCGTGACGTACACACACACAGAGAGAGCAGCTAATAGTGGAAGACTCAAAGCATCTACATCAAATATGCATCTACTCTTTGGCTACTATCCCAACCCTCCCAGATTAAAGTCAAGGAAGTTTTTTCTGAACATCTGTACATTTTGAAGAAATAGCAGAGAAAGCCAGGACTATAATGTAGAAAGAACTGCCCACCTCTTAAAATGGATGGACCGTCAGGAAAGCCTAGGCCTTGGTCACATGGAGAAATGGGACTGATTGAAAATCACTGAATAGGCTATGACGTGGAATTGGCAGAACCAAAGTAAGCCTAAGAAGATGGGAGTTTTCATACTGACACAATCATTTTGTGGCTGTGGAAAGAACAGGCAACTTCACACCTGTGCTCTTCAACATACGCCATGGAAGATTTTATGCTAGCTGCCACAACTGCTCTTGAGGCTGCCTGTTACTGGGATAAAATTATCTGGTATATGTGTTAGCTGTACTGTGGTGCTTCTGACATGAACAAAGAAAGAAAGGATACAGTACTCAGTAATATCAAACACTTTAAAAGGCCAGTTTGAATGTCTTTACCTCCTTCCTGAAAGCAGCATGAAGGTGCACTACTGATTGTCCAGTATTCCAAAATGATACAAAGCAGTTTTAGTATAGATACAGATGTATTCATCTCTGTACCTGGTGCTTGAGACTGTTTCGGAAAGAAAACTCTAGCAGACTTTGATTCTTTTTTCTTTTCTTTTTTACCCAGCCTTCCAGTGAGATGGCTGTCTCTGGTTGACTGAATCTGGATCTGTTTGCAATTTCTGTGCCTGCCAATCCATCTGTCCCTTACAGAGAACTCCCTTCTGGTAGCACCGAGGTGCTGAATGATCACATCTGAGTTGCAATTGCAAACACAGTCAGTTTGAACAATTGAACTGCATGCCAGACTGATTAAAGAGCACTGCAGGAAATCATGGGGCCACTGAGTGTAGCCCAAGAGCATTGTTTACTTACCAATGCATATGGCAAATGTGCAGAACTTGCTCATGACCTTTGCCTGCCCTGTGCAGAGGGGGCGGGTGAGGGACTGAAAGCAGAAAGGATGAGAATGAAACGAAGAAGAAGAAGAAGCTTCAAATACCCTCAAATAAGCTTCAACATTCACTTTTGGCTCTAGATCTAAAATCCATAATGAGGTGATACCTTTATTAGTCCAGTTAAAAGGGGGACTAAATCATCTATAAAAGCTCAAAAAATGGCACAACCTTTCAAGAAAGCAGTATATTTAGCACAAAGGTGGGGGAGAATGGAGGAATACTGGATCTTAAGTCTTTGTTGTTGGAGAAAAAGGGCTGTATCCGTGTGAGTGGTATTAGATTCCATACATACATGCTGGAAACAAACCAAAACAGAGCAATCTTGCCCCCCCCCCAAGCAGTAGCCTGTCAGTGATTAAAAAAGCAGAAGCAGGTAGGCATGGATCAAAGTGGGCTGATAAATCTCAAAGACAGATTAGGTGGACTGATTCAGGCATGGCTTTTCAACCACAGGTGACTCATGCCCTACTCAGAAGCCTTAACCTAAAGACTTCCAGATTAGCATGAAACATATCCACAAGTGGTGTTGACAAACATGATGTTTGATGTGGTGCATAGGAACAGTGTCACAGTTTGTGAGGTGAATGGAAGCAGGGCTTAACATAGTGACCGGTTTTCAGTGTCAGAACCCAGTTCTGAAGTTACAGCTGTTGCTAAGGCAGAAGAGTCCCCCAAATCTAGCTACTCTATGAAGATGAGCATAACAGAATCTACCTCCCTTCATAGATTTCCATCTCCTGCCCAAGGAACACAACATACCCAGCAGTGGTCAGGGGCCATGTGTCCTGGTGGAACTTCCTGGTGTGCTGTGCCTCATTTAAGTGAACTTCAGGTTCATGTGTGACAAGAGTCCATTGCTGTCCAGAGCTGGCAAAAAAAAAGCCAGAGTTCGCCATCGTCTCTCAACACACCCAAACTCTTCCTTCAGCACTGAGCCACCCCACGTGAAATAGGGGAAGTCCAGTCACATTCCTCTAAACCTGACTTGTTCCTTTATGGAGCGCAGGAAGCTGTCTTGCAGTGTTAGTTCATTGGTCCTTTTAACTTAAAATTGTCTATAACGGCTGGCAGAGGCTTTCCAGGGTTTCAGGCAAGGGATTATGCCAGACCACCACCCCCCCAGGGATAGCAGACAAACTGAAATTTCCTTTCTTCAAGAACTGCTTTTAATGCATGGTTAAGAAATGAAAGAAAAAAAGCTATGTTTGGGAACATAATCTGGTTGCATGCAGATAAATGTTTGCTGATGTCTCTTCTTATCCTTGTGATAGCTAAATCTGGCCATGCCTGTTCTTGTGTATTGCAGCAAAGTCCATAGGGGACAAGTCTGTGGCTCATGTAAAGGTCGCTGAAGAGCCTGGAGGGCAGGACAGAGAAACACTGGAGTTACGGATGGAGATTCCTTCGAGTCAGAGGTCCGAAGAGCAGTCCACTTAAGCAGCCTGACGACAGCCTTGCACTGCAATAAGAATGTGGTTCTCACAGAAGAAAGCCAGACAATAAAGAGTAAACAAAACAGGGAAAGGGCTGTGCTGCAGGCCTCCTGCTGCCAGAGGAACACCACCGCCACCAACAACAACAACTGGTGTTACGCCCATGGTAAATGCCATCTCTGGCGATGAGGGACAGTTGCTTTGGGATCAGTGGGTCCACTTCATGGCAAAATCTTTCTCTACCAAATGTAGAATTCTTAACTTTCCTCTAATAGAGCAATTTACATCTGTTTTCAAATGTGGAACTCTTTACTGTTGGGTAGTGATAAGATTTTTTTAAATTCTGATCTACGCTTCTCCTTCAACAACACTGCGGTTAGGGGCACCAGGCCAAGATGTAGTTCAAAATCTGTGTATAACTCTTATGCCCTAAAAACAACCACAAAGCATGAACAGCTGATGCGCGCACAACAGCCCTCCTCCGACCTGTGTCGTCAGCCTCCTTAGCTGCCACGTGGACAGGAGAGAGGGCCGACTGGGCCACCACCATCAGACCAGGGGTCACTGCCCTGCCAAACAACAAGACCTTAGGTAAGTCCAAGACCCACCTTTCTCAGGCTACTTCCTGGAGATGAAAAGCAGCACAATACTTGTTTGGAGGGAAATCATCGGTAACCAAAAGTCAGATCCGTGCAGTTCAAGGGAAAAGTGTAATTGCTAGTGGAAAGCCGTGGGTATATTTTTCTCTCTCTCAATGTAGGGCACTCCAGCAGTCTACCTCTTGCCAGCCAATTATTCAGAAGGAAAAAACAGATCCCCATTTGCCATTGGAAATACTGAGCAAGATGATAAATGTAAGGTATAGACAATTGAAACATCAATCTGAAGTTGTAGTGACACAAGTATCCTGGAGGGCTGTTTGCAGAGATGGGGGAAAATGTGAACAAGAGTTCCAATGCTGGCCGGTGTCCTGTTGAAGCAGCAGTAAAAAAAAAAAGTTACATGTTAAATCACCAGCTATTTGGTAATTTATGTCACATGTAAAAGGATGTTACATGCTGATTGGCTAACTCGCATCGTCTTACTTGGATGATATGACTGTGTGGGTGAATTAGAAATGTTGTAAAACCGAACAGCACTGAGGAACCCAGAGAAAATAGCGATGGACGTGTATCCCTTTGATCTCAAGTACGTATTTGAACTGACCCGATCTGTTTCAGTTGGGCAGGCAGCTAGTAACACACAGAAGAAAGCCAGACAATAAAGAGTAAACAAAACAGGGAAAGGGCTGTGCTGCAGGCCTCCTGCTGCCAGAGGAACACCACCAACAACAACAACAACAACTGGTGTTACGCCCGTGGTAAATGCCATCTCTGGCGATGAGGGACAGTTGCTTTGGGATCAGTGGGTCCACTTCATGGCAAAATCTTTCTCTACCAAATGTAGAATTCTTAACTTTCCTCTAATAGAGCAATTTACATCTGTTTTCAAATGTGGAACTCTTTACTGTTGGGTAGTGATAAGATTTTTTTAAATTCTGATCTACGCTTCTCCTTCAACAACACTGCGGTTAGGGGCACCAGGCCACAATGTAATTCAAAATCTGTGTATAACTCTTATGCCCTAAAAACAACCACAAAGCATGAACAGCTGATGCGCGCACAACAGCCCTCCTCCGACCTGTGTCGTCAGCCTCCTTAGCTGCCACGTGGACAGGAGAGAGGGCCGACTGGGCCACCACCATCAGACCAGGGGTCACTGCCCTGCCAAACAACAAGACCTTAGGTAAGTCCAAGACCCACCTTTCTCAGGCTACTTCCTGGAGATGAAAAGCAGCACAATACTTGTTTGGAGGGAAATCATCGGTAACCAAAAGTCAGATCCGTGCAGTTCAAGGGAAAAGTGTAATTGCTAGTGGAAAGCCGTGGGTATATTTTTTTCTCTCTCAATGTAGGGCACTCCAACAGTCTACCTCTTGCCAGCCAATTATTCAGAGGGAAAAAACAGATCCCCATTTGCCATTGGAAATACTGAGCAAGATGATAAATGTAAGGTATAGACAATTGAAACATCAATCTGAAGTTGTAGTGACACAAGTATCCTGGAGGGCTGTTTGCAGAGATGGGGGAAAATGTGAACAAGAGTTCCAATGCTGGCCGGTGTCCTGTTGAAGCAGCAGTAAAAAAAAAGTTACATGTTAAATCACCAGCTATTTGGTAATTTATGTCACATGTAAAAGGATGTTACATGCTGATTGGCTAACTCGCATCGTCTTACTTGGATGATATGACTGTGTGGGTGAATTAGAAATGTTGTAAAACCGAACAGCACTGAGGAACCCAGAGAAAATAGCGATGGACGTGTATCCCTTTGATCTCAAGTACGTATTTGAACTGACCCGATCTGTTTCAGTTGGGCAGGCAGCTAGTAACAGTCCTGTGGCCAAAACGTTTTTAACTCCTATATGAATCTTAAATCACCACTTGAGAATGTCAGAAGCTTTCCAAAGCAAACAAGTATTGGGTGGAAAATACAACATTTGGTTTCCCACTACCTTTCGGAGCCTAGTTACATCATACAGAATGCAGTCCAGAGTAGACAAATATCACAGGCTGCCTCATAATGCAACAGAAGGGCTTTACAGCATTTTTCATTCAGAGCTGCTACCGCAGCACTGCTCTGAAGACATTAACTAAATCATTCTTCAAGACAGAACGGGAGACTTTTCCCCAAGCTTCGTGTTCTGGTCACTCTGCCTTCCTGGTGGCATGGCTTGGCACTGTGAGGCATTTGCCAAGTCTCAAAGACCAGCAAAAGGGGCCACTGTACCAAGGCTGCTCCCATCTTCATTTTTTAAAAATACACAAAACACTCGAGCACTCAGCTGGCAATGCCAGAAGGTTGCCCAACAAATTCCCAGTGGAAGCTGGAGGCCCTTCCTGGCTTTCACTAGCATTGCTCCGCTTGTTCCAGAAGACGTGGAAAGAAACTGGATTGATTTCTGTGTCAGCTGAAGCCCGATGCACCTCTTACCTCCCCTTCCCTGGCAGGGGGGAAAAAAAGAAAAGCTTGAGGTTGCAGCATGTAACATAGGCAGTCCCTTATGCCTGGGGAGTGCGTCACAGATGCTTGTCTGAGCCACATAAAGGAACCCTTGGTCTCTGTGGCAGATGGGTTCTCTCTCTCTCTCAGTGCAGGTGAGCTTCCCAAGATGCCCATTCCAGTTCCTGGGCCCAGGTATCTTTACTTTGCAGTTAAGAAGTCACATTGCTGTTGTCCCCCACAACAGCATCCTCTATGACCATTAAGAGCATTTACCAATTTATATTATCCTCATGATCCTTATCCTCTTCCCCCAATGCATATATTATAGTCCTTTGCCATCAGAGTAAGTTTGATGCTATCAGTGGAGTGTTCCTACCTCCATGTGAAAGAAAGAACCCACGGCATGCGTTGTCTGTGCACGCACGTAGGTAGGGGAGATGTGTGTGCCCATAACCATGCCCAATGCAGTTCAGACATGCATGGTATAGTTTGCAAATGCCTTTATTACACTGGAATGAGTAACAAAATATTAAATATAGTGGATTAGATTACTGGGGAGGGCTAAGGTAGCCTCAAGTAAGCTCTAAATTCTGACATTTCAAAGAACCAGGATCCCTTAGACAGTTGCCAAATTGTGCAGCACAAAGAACTTTTTCACACAGTATCTAAGCAACTTATGGAATTCACAAGTACAGATGAGGTAACAACCGTTAGCTTAGCAACTTAGCACATTTTAAACATAATTGCAGAGAAGGGCCCCTTGTTGGCTAAAGGCAGAAGAGCTTGGCTAAGTGGGGAAGGAATTTAAGGGCAATCAAGGATCGTTCTAGGTTAAGGATGGACAGCAGAGAGCCTCTGGGCCACATCCAACCACCATGGGCTCCAATACAGGGCCCCAGCAACATTCCCTCCACACATACATTTCAGGGGGTTTGTTTTTTTATTTTTTTAAAAAAAACCTTTTGGCTCAAGACCCTTTGGTGTCTTCTAGGTGGCGTGAGAGCAATTTTACCCTTTCAGTTAGCCCCAATGCTTATTTAAAACAAACAAACAAACAACAACCCTTCCAGCACTAAAGGACACAATGTGGCTTTTTTTACTTTAAAAAAATCAACAGAAAAATTTGGGCGGAAGGGTTGGAGAGCAGGACCTCTGAAAAGTGCCCACCCCTGTCCTGGGTGGTACAAGTTGCTTATCTAGGGAGAAAAAAATCACAAGAGTTTTTGAAGAAAAAAAATTATATCTAATTTGAACAAGAATCACCAACAGGGATGATGAATTAGGCTTAAATTTATTTATTTGGCTTTTATACCACCCATCTAGATGAATCTACTTGGCCGTTTACAGTCCAAAAAGGCAATAAAATTAAAATCATTCATAAAAAGACTAAAACAAGCCAGAAAAGAGAGGAAAAAATTAAGCAGTGGCAGGAGGGAAGACCTGCATGAAGAGCCAGGTCTTCAGTTTACTCTTAAAAACTCCCAGCAAGGGAGCCAGGCGGATCTCAGAAGGGGAGTATGTTCCAAAGGCGAGGGGCCCGGCTGAGAAGGCCCGGTTTCTAGTTTTTCCTCCCTTTCTGGGCCTCTCTCAAGAGTTAAGCCCCTCCAGCTGCCCAGTCTGGTTAGAATGAGTGAAGGTAGAAGAAGGCACTCTGACCGATATTGAGGTCCTAAACCGTTTAGGGCTTTATATGTAATCATTAGCACCTTGAAATCAATGCTGAATCTAATGGGTAACCAGAGTAAGGCGGTCAGAGTGGGGGAAATATGTTTTTTCACACCAGTTAGTAATTTGGCTGCCGTATTCTGGACCAATTAAAGTTTCCACATCAATCTCATACATTCTCCCCAAGCTGGATTCTCTGAGAATGGTCCTCCAAGAAGGACCAGAGCCAGGCAAGAGCCAGGCCACCGATCCCCAACTCAGAGAGCCTCCCCAGGAAGATACCGTGATTGATGGTATCAAAGGTGGCTGAGATGATGAGACCCAACAAGGACATTTTGCCCGTCAGCATCCCTCAATAGGTCATTTAGTAGGGTGACCAATGCCGTTTCTGTACTGTGGTGCGGCCTGAAGCCCAACTGAAACGGATGCAGGGCATTCGTTTCATCCAATAGGGCTTGAAGCTGATTGGCCACCACCCTCTCTACTACTTTGCTAAGGAAAGAAACATTGGCGACAGGCTTGTAATTGCCAATGATGTCCGCTGCCAAGCTCGGTTTCTCCCTGATGGGCCTAATGAGCATC